CCCCCCGCCCCCTCTTTCGGAGCTCGGCGGGCATATTGCATGCCCCGCCGCGCGCTTGGCCGCGGCCCACTGCCCTCCTCGCCGTGCCCCCGCCCGAATCTTGCACACATCCAAACAAACGCCTCCACACATCCAGCCAGCCAGTCAGCCAGAAAGGCAGACAGACAAGTCCATCAGAGAGGTAACTGCGGCCTGGGCGAGGGGCGGGAAAGGATGGACTGCCACCTCCCAAAGGATCCCCCCCCCTCCAGCTGTGGATGCTCTCGCGAAAAGAGCTTATCCGGGTTTCCGACTGCGCGCCACCCGTTCTCGCCGTCCCCCCGGCCGTGCCCTCTCGCGGCCGCCGCAGTGCCGGGACTTCCCGCGGGGCCGAATCGTGGGGTAGACGTTCTCGCCAATGGAGGCGGCCGAAGAGACGACCATCGTGAATGGGCATATCACTGGATATCCCAACGAAGCCAGTGTGACTGGCAAACCGGGCGCACGCCTCAGAACGCCCGCCACCAGAACGCTGGCCAACGTATGCGGGTCCTCCGCCTCCCAGCCCGGGGCTCACGCTCGCCGGCCTCGGGGGGGGGCGGGCGCGGCAGGAAGGGGCTGCCACACGACCTGTGCCGGAAGACCGAACAGGGCCCGCGCCCCAGGGTCCCCCCGCCCCCCATCCCTCGGAGAGGGCCTCGCCCATCTGCGCGCGGCAAGCAGCCTCCCCGAAGTGAGGTCCATGGTGGGACCCCGGTTACGGAAGAACCGTTCGCCATGGCCCGGGCAGGCCAGCCGGTGCTGAGATGCACCCCCGACCGAAACCGGCCAAGGAGGCCCGGCCCCTCAGCGCCCAAGGCCGCGGGGCGTCAGCACGCGCACAACCCCCCCCCCCCCTCCTTTCCCCGGAGCACAGGGGGCATGTGTATGCGCGTGTGTCGTGCTTTGGCGCCTGCGAGTGCCCGTGTGCGTGTGTGACAGCCCCGCCGGGGAGGGCCTGGCGCGCGGCGTGACCCGCGTCCTGCCGCCGCGCCGGACCGGGTTAATTTAATCCACGCGCGAGGAACACACTTCCGCCGCGTGGGCACATGATATGCCGCGGCGCGGCGTGGTCAGATCTCGGCGCGCGCGGCGCGCGCGTTGTCTCTCGGGCCAGCGATCCGGGGGTGCCTGGCGCGCCTCGGCGCACATGCAGCCACACGGCCGGCGGGGCCCATCGTGCGGAGCAGCGAGCGCGGTCGACACGAGGGGGGGGGGGGGGACCGCCCAGGCCCCGTTCGGGTCGGCGGCCTCTCCGCTCCCCCTTCAAGGGCCTGCCCAATCTCCCAGGCATGTGTGCTGCCGGATAGATCCCCCTCCCTCTCGCCCCTCCCCTGCCCCGCGCACTCTTCCCTGCCCCCTCCCCCTTGGTCCTTCTCCCTCTTTCCCTCCTCCTTCCCAAGCCCACCCCCTCTCCTTCCTTGCCATCTGGCTTTGTTGCCCACACATACATCCCTCCCCCCCCCCCTTGTCCCTGGTCTCTCGTCTCCCCTGCCACCAAAGCGTGCCCCGTTCGCCGCCCCGCCCTCCCATCCCGGCATCCCTCTTGGCTTAGACCTTCCGCTGGCGAGCGCGGCCAAGATGTACGCCCGCCCTGTCTCTCTCTCTCTCTCTCTCTCTACCTCTGCCGCACCCTCCATCCCTCCCGCCTCGCAGGATCTTCCCTCATCCTACCATCCCCTTCTTGCTCACCCTCCCCTCGCTCCCTGGCCTCCTCGCTCCTCCTCCTTCAGATCGACCAAGCGCGCGCGCGCCCTCTGTCCCATCAAACATGATGTCCCTTCCGTATTTGCTCACCCGGCCGGCCGGCCAGGCTGCATTCACCATGCCGCAGTGGGCCCCGGGCTCCGGGCTACTCCTCGCCCGGGCTCTGGCCACCTATCATTCCGGAGCCGGAAACCAGGATGAGAATAGCGTCAGTTTGAACATTTTCAAAGCCGCTCGTCGTCGAGCGCCGGCCACCTCGGCCTCGGCATCTGCCGCCACCAGCACCGCGGCCGGGTCCGCCGCCGCCCCCGAGGACCCCGGCTCGGGGAGCTGGGCCGCGCGCCAGCACGCGCAACTTGCCCGGCACCCGGATCGCAAGGGCAACCCCGGGTATGCCTATCTTGCAGGGTTTGGCACCATCTCCGAAGGGGGCAACAATGCAGCCCCGGAGGGAGAGGCCGAACCGACCGGCGACGACAAGGAACTTGCCCCTGCGGCCCTGCGGCGGCAGAAGCGCCTCTTGCGCCAGCGCCAGCGGTCGCAGTCGCGCAAGTCGTCCGACCACCAGTGTGACCATGATCACAGCTGTGGCGATGATCATGACGATGCCGATGATGCCGATGATGCCGATGATGCTGATGGGACGGACGGTGTTTATGACAGCGCTGATGAGCACCACACCGCGTCGGACTGCGACCATGACCATTCCCACGGCCACGGCTCCTCCCCCGCTGGCGGCCAAGCCAAGCGGCCCCCCTCGCGCCGGGCCGCCAACCACCGGTCCCACTCATGGTCCAGGAGTGCCATCTCCCCGGGCGAGGTGAAGACCTTCATGCGCCGGGTCAAGGGCAACATGTGTCTGCTGTGTGGCACCCACCCAAGCAGCCAGCCCTGCCTGAATCCGCAGCTCCAAAAGCTCGGGCTCACCTTCATCCACAACCGGAATCCCTTTTCCTACATTTCGGCCCAGGAGTACTCCTTCTCCTCGGCGTGCGTCTTTTGCGGCGAGGTGAACCACGCGTCCGCCGACTGTCGCCTTGCCCGGCGCATCGGCGTCAGCTACTCGCCGAATGGGTTTTCCCGGCCGTCGGAGCTGACCCTGGCCCTGTCGAGCCAGGGCCTGTGCTCCTTTTGCCTGGCCCCCCACTCGTCATGGGACTGCCCGGATCGGCCCTACTACGCCGGTGTTTCGACGCCGGTCCCCTGCAAGGACAGCCAGGCTCTGAGCCAGCGCTTTTCGGCCGACCTGTGCGTGGTGTGCGGCAAGCACTCCTATGCCGATGTCTGTCCGGAACTCCTGTCCCAGGGGGTCATCTATGTGGGGCATGCCTTTCCCTTTGGCCGCCTGGTCAAGGACGTGGCCCGGAGCCAGCACGCCCTGGCCATGACCCCGATGCTGACCACGCCGGTGCGCATGCCGCCGCATTTCAACCGCGAGAACTACCCCAACATGGATCCGCGGTCGTTGTCGGTGCTGGAGCAATTCTACCGCCTGCGCAAGGAACAGGGCTTCACCCTGCAGCCGGATCAGTGTGCCATTTGCGGGCTGACGCACCCGGTGCCGGGGCTTTGTCAGCCGGCTTTGCGGGCTGGCTACCGGTTTACGCATGACTTCAACCGGTACATCTATTCCTCGGCTCTGGTCCGCTCAGCGGCCCAGGGGACCCTGTCGAACAATTTCCACCAGCGCTCGGCCACCCCCTTCGGCGACCCCTTCTTCACGGCGGCGATCCAGGGCCAGCGACTGAACCCGCGCCCGTGGGCTGAGGGCGAATCGGCGAGCGGCTCGGCCGCCGGTTCCCCGGCCGTCGGGTCCATGTTCACCGGCACGGGCATGGCCAATTACCCGGATGACCAGTCTCTCGGCGAGTCAGACGAGCTGACCCCCGGCATCTCGCTGACCCCCTTCCGGACCATCCCTCCCACCGGGATCCGGGGCCAGGAGCCGCGCATCATCCAGCCGGCCAGTCGCGTGCAATTGTCCAATTCCCTGCGCCTGTTGAAGTCCATCGGGACCAAGGTCCACCACCGGTTCTTGCCATACTCCAGCCTCCTGGCCACCGAGGGACAATCCCTGTGTGGCTATTGCTTCGAGCATAGTGCGCACTTGCCGTGCCCGGTTCTCCAGCGCCTGGACATCTTGCTGCAGTACAACATCTTCCACCTGCCGGCGCAGGCGACCCAGGACCAGCGCCTCCGCGAGGGCTTGTGCCCGGTGTGCGGCACCCATCCGGCCACGGTGTCCTGCTTCCTGTACGACGTGCTGGCATTGGACCCGCGCAATCCGCTGCTCCGGCTGCCGGGGCTGATGTCCACGCGCAATGACCTCGGCATGTGCCGGCTGTGTGGGCTCCACGCCAAGGACACCCCCTGCCGGGCCATCAACAGCCTCGGCTGGGAGGTCAACTCGCATGCCTTCAACATGCGCAAGACCCGGCAATACCCGCTGGAAATGAATGGCATGTGCTCCTTCTGCGGGCGGCATTCCAATACGGAGGCCTGCCCGCACTTCCCCTCCACGTCGGCCCTCTATGTGCGGAATACGCTGGTCGTGTCGCCCTTCATGCAGGAGCTCTCCTCCCGGCATGACATTTGCCCCACCTGCTTCGGGCACAGCCAGCTGAGCAAGTGCCCGGTGGCGCATCAGGTCAATTTGCGCACCTACCCGCGCTTCCAGAACCCCATGCTGCCGGTGACCGTGCGCAAGCAGGGGCTCTACTATACGCCGGAGCCGCACCCGGATCCCATCTACCTGCCGGATGAGCAGGTGATGGTGGTGCGCCGGAGCCAGATCGGGGAGATATGTGCCATTTGTCTGAAGGACCATCCTCCCTCGGAGCGCTGTGTGTCCCTCTTTGAGGGGGAGAATTTGGTGCAATTGCGCAAGCAGCTGTACCGCCGGGCGGTGGCGTCCACCATTTGCGAGATGTGCCCCCTGTGCTCGGCCCATCCGCTGGATGAGCCCTGTCCGTACTACCTGTCGCCGGAGCGCCTGACCCGGGTGCGTGTGACGCAGGAGCGCCGGGCGGAGCGTGCCCGGCGCGAGGGCCTGCCCATTCCGTCCAACCGCCCGGGGCGCAATCCGCACCACTCGGCCGGGCCCGGCATCGCCGGGACCAACAGCCAGCAGCCCCTGGACTCGATGATCATCACGGCGGTGGTGTCGCATGGCGGCCGCAAGGGCTCGGTCCTGCTTCGGGGCCGGCTGCACTTGCACCCGAATGAGCTGGAAGAGCGCCTGCAAAGCCAACGGTGCCTGTACTGTGGCCTGCATGGGAATGCCCAGCCGTGCGCCCTCATGGCGTCTCTCGGGTTCGTGGTGACCGGGCCCCATCGGCAATTGCAAATGGCGGCCGAGGCTCGTGCCGTGGCCGAGGACCTGGGCCTGTGCCTGCGGTGCTTCTCACATCACCGGTCGCGGCCGTGCGACGAGTCGGTGGCCAACAGCGCGGCCGGCCGGGCTGGCCTGCCGCTGGCCGTGTCGGATGAGCTCTTCGCGCGGTACTTTGATCCGGAATCGCCGGACTTCCGGGCCCCCAGCGGCCCGGCCTCCCTGGGCACCGCCGGGCGCAAGATGAATGTCCTGCTGCCGGCCGAGTACTTCGAGTCCGTGTCGCCGGTCAACTCGTCGCTGAACTTCTCGCACAACTTCCTGCGCACGGTGTCCATCATCCGGGACACCCTGCTCAAGAATCACATCTACAAGCCGTGTCTCTTCTGCGATGTGGTGCACGGGCATGAGCCCTGCCCGCAGCTGACCAAGCTGGGCTTCATCCACAATGGCCACTCGCGCAATCCGCTGCAGGTGCGCCTGGATGTGTTGATTTCTCGGAATATCGCACGGAACTGCGGCATTTGCGGCTCGCATCCGGATTCGCTCGAGTGCCCGATCGTGGCGCAAATGGGCGTGCGCTTCGTCAACAACCGCTTCTATCCCCAGACAAACATCGAGTCGAACAAGCGCAACCACTGCCACCTGTGTCTGCTGCACCTGGCCAGCGAGCAGTGCCCCTTCCTGTCGTTGGTTCACCAGTCGACGCCGACCCGGGCGCGCGATCCCCTGGCCAAGCTCCGCATTGCCAACAACCTGTGACTTACCTGTGGCAACCATGAGTACCGCGAGGACATGGCCAACTGCCCGCGTGCCGCCGAGGCGGCAGCCGTCCGCCGGTCGGCCGATTCCACCCGCCGCCGGACGGAGATGTCCCGGTTGCGCACCATGTGATGGGGGACCGGCGGGAGGCCCTTTGCCCGGTCTTGTCTACTTCCCCCCCCCTCCCCCCTCCCCCCTCCCCTCTCCTCTCTTTCCTTTGCCCTCTGCCCTCTGCCCTCTGCCCTCTGCCCTCTGCCTCCTCCTGTGCTGGCGGTAGGGACACACACACACACACAGGCAGGGGGGGGGTCTGTGTGTGGTCACCCCCTAGATGCACGCACACATGCATGCCACCTCTCCCCCGACGCAAGTGTGCACCGCACGCGCTGTGGCCCCACGATGCCCGAAAATAGACAATATCCAAAATCACATGACCCCGCTCTCGCGATCGGGCTTTTCTCGCCCCGCCCTGTGTGCCGCGCGCAGCATGCCCCGCCACACCGCCCCCGCCCGCCCCTCCTCCTCCAGATCTTGCCGTCCGCCGTGCTGGGGTCTCCCCGACGTCTGCTCCGCCCCTCGCCCCCTCCGCCCCGCCCCGCCCCGCCCCGCCTCTTTTTTTCCCGCCGCCTCCGTCACCGGCTGCCCGTCCGAGCCTTCCCTCAGGGCGCCATGCCAGCCTCGTCGGACAGGGGTCCGTCGATCGACCAGCCGGCGGGGTCGCCCGGGCCGGATCTCCCCCTGGGCATGGCCGCTGACCTGGGGCAACCACTCGCGCCGCAGTCGCTGGCCTTGGTGTTGCAGTCGCCACCAGCCCCGGCCACCACCCCGGCCGCGACCGTAGCTCACGCTCTGCCGACCATGCCATCGGATTTCCACTTCCAGAGTCGCCTCAGCTCGGATCCCTGGTCGCTGGCGGCCCTGGCCCAAGCGTGGCGGCATGCTGAGCCCTTGCTGCCAGGGCCTCTGGCACGCCCCCTCTGCGAGGCCGACTCCACGCCCGGCCCATGGTGGCTGCCATCCTGGTGCCCTGGCGATGATCCACTCCTGGAGGATATGGAGTATGTGCCGCCCGCGGCTTCCCTGCTTTCCTGGGCGTGGCCCTCGCAGGTGTACTGATCTCCACCTGACCCCTGTCCCCTCACCTCTGTTCCCTCGCTCGCCCCCCCCCCCCCCCCCCCCCCCCCCCCCCCCCCCCCCCCCCCCCCCCCCCCCCCCCCCCCTCGCGCGCGCGCGCCCGCCCGTCTATCTCCCCTTGTGTCCCCCTCTCGCTTCTTTCGGGCCCCCGGCTCACACAGTGTCGCGGCCCTCAAGCACGAGCACCTCACCCAGCTGGTGTTCCATGCGATTGACCCGCGGCCGCCGAGCACCTCGACACAGGAGGCCTCCGGCGAGACCGGGGCGCCGCGCTCGGTGGCCGAGCGTCTTGCCTCGCCCACCGCGCCCGTGTCATCTCAGCACCTCCTGCGGTCGGTCCGGCCAACGGGCGAGTCCCTTTGCCGGGTGAATGTGACGGACCTGCCCAACACCCGAAGCACATACCTGGCTGATGAGCCGACGATCGACCCGCGCGCGCGAGACGCCTTTCGAGCTCGGTATGGCGGCTCGCCCGCGGCCGGACCCGAGCAGGAGCTGCTGCTGGATCTGACGGTCTTCCTGCCGCCCTGCCTGACTCCGAACAGCTCGCAGACCCGGGCCCCGGCGTCCGGCAGGATGACGCACATCCGGGCCCCGGCGTCGGCCACTCTCGGGCACATTGCGAATCTGATCGCGTGCCCCCTGCTGCGGCCGGCGTCGGAAACGCCGGCCGAGACGAAAGGCGCCGCCGAGATCGCGCCCCCTGTCGCGGCCGACGGTGATCTCCCCCGCCCGGGGCGACTCTTCCTCGTGGAGGGGGTCCTGTATGAGGACACCCAGCATGCGGACGCCCCGTGCCTCAGCAGGTGCATGACCTATGACCACCCCTCGCGCCACGCCCAACATGCGGTGCTCACTCGCTGCGTTGCCCTCCATCGCCTCCGCTCCCCGCCCCCCTCCCCCCCCTCCCCTCCCCATCTCCCTAGTCACATCCAGGAGTGGGTGACCACACCCGGGCGATCGTTGCCACCACACCTATGCCCCCCGGCGGCTGGCACCTGGCATCCGGGTCGCTCTGGCGAGAGGCATCCCCGGCTGGAGGTTCGCCCCCTTGGAACCCAGCGCCTGGATCAGATCCCCGAGGCGCTGCGTCTTTTTCAGCCCTACCTCTTTGCGCATGAGCTGGTGGATCCGCTGCTGCGGGGCACAGCCAGCGGGCATTCCATTTGCGAGCATGTTGTCTGTGTCACAGATGTCCGGTGCGTCTCAAAAAGGCGCCCCCCCCCCCCCCGCTCCTGCGAACAGATGCCCTGACCTTGGATTTGTGTGTCTACCGATCCCTCCTCTTTCCCCGCCGGCCCTGTCCCTCCTCCTCGTCCCCTTGTCCGGGCCTGGTGGGGGTCGTGAAGAACGCCCACGCCGTATGATTACAAGGTGCCCAAGCCGGGCATGCAGCCAACTCTGGACCATCTGCCGGCGGCTCGGCAATTTGCCCGGCCCTTCGATGTCTATTGCGACGTTTGCCAAGATCGCCAGTCTAGCCATATGGTCCAGATTTCCGAGCAGGCAGCCTCGGCGATGGCCCTTCCCCAGTCGCCGGCTTTGTCGGGGAGCTCGGCCCCGGCCGATGCCCCAGCCGCCGGGACCAGCTTCCCCTCGCCCTTCGAGTTCACACACCTCTGCCAAGGGTGCTTCAATGCCCTGCTCTTCGATGCTGACGGCAATCCCCTCTGGGATACGAGCGAGCTGCGCGTGGTATCCGACCATCCGGCGGCCGAATACAACGACTAGGGCGCTGTACCCGCGTCTTTTCTCCTTCTCGACTTTGCCTTTGGGCTCCCCCGTCTTTCTCACGACGTTCTCTTCCTTTTTTTTTCCTCCCCCCCCGCTGCCGCGGTGTATATTGCGATGTACGAGAAGGGGGTGCAAATGCGCAGAGGCGAAGGGAGAGAGGCAGGGAGGGGGGGGGGGGGGCGGCCTGGCGGGAGCCCGGGCGGCGAGACGGGAAGAGCTCATACCAGCCCGGTCACAACATCGATTAAGCCCCCCTGGGCGGCCGGCTCCCCGGAGCCAAGAGGCTGCCAGGGATACCCAGCCAGAGGGAGGGTGGCGAGGTCGATGGCCCCATGGGTAAGGGCCGCGGCGTCCAGCGTCAGGGCCAGCTCCTGGGTGTCGCGCACGAGCACGGCCCCGGCGAAGCCCAGGGCATTCATGCTGAAGGTCAGCGTCGGGGAACCCTGCGGGCTGTCATTCTCCGGGGGCAGATCCGTCGATGCGATCACCGCGTCGCGGTTCTCGGTGAAGGACAGCGTCACGGCCGGGTGCTGGCGCGGGACGACCAGCAGCCAGCGCCGGGTCAGGAGAATGTTGGCCGACAGGACCCCCGGGCTGTCCAGGGTGTGGGCACAGTCAGCCGGCACCGGCCCGGCCGGGGGGAGCTTCGTGTCGGTGGCCGAGGCCAGGCGCTCCAAAGCCTGTAGGTAAAGGTGATGAACGGTGCTCGCCGCGCGGGGGGTCCACTCTCCGGGGACCGCATTCGGGGTGAAGGCCCGGCCGTCGGAGCTGGTCGCGAAATCCTCCGGGTCCAGCAGCGCCGCCAGATGCAGGAAGGGCAGCCGGTTCTCGGGCAGCTGGAAAAGGTGATTCGTCCGGGGAGGGGTTGCCTCTGTTGGTGCGTTGTGGGGGGGGGGGGACATGCGAAGAGTTGCGTCAATGTGGGACCGTGACAAAGTCGCACCGTGAGGCGGGGGGAGGGGGGCCAAGGAGAGAGAGAGAGAGAGAGAAAGAGAAAGAGAAACAGGGGGCCAGGAAGGGGGAGAAAGAGGGAAGGGAGGAACGAGGAGGGGGAGGAGGTCGGGCGCACGCTGTGATGTCCAGCGCTCGAGCACGCGGCTGATCGGCACCGCTGATGACTCCCATTCAAAGCCGGCTGGCGGGGTCTCCTGGGGCCGGTCATACCCGCCGAGAGCCCAGCAGGGGAGGAGCTGCGCGTGGCGGTGGGCCTGTGATGCTCCGCTGTTGGCTCCGAGGTTGTAGAAGAGAATCCACTCGCCGGCCAGCTCGGCCAGGGTGAGGCGGGCGGCCCCGGGATCGACAGACCCATTGTCAACCGGGGCCCCATTGATGTCCATGTCGCAGGCGGGCGCCACCGACAGGGTCTGAAGCGCGCTGACGAAGGCGCGGCTGTCGGCCGCATCCCAGAGCCCCGTCTGGGGGGCGAAGTCTGTCATCGCACGGGCCGGCTAGCGGGGGGGGGGGGAGGAGGGAGGGTCAGGGGAATAGCGGCCATCGAGAGGGGGGACACCGGCAGGCAGCGGAAGAGAAGGCGGTGGGAGAGCGCAGGGGCTGCCCAGGGAAAGGGGTACCGGATGACACGACCAGAACATGGCCTTTGTCGACGGGGAACTTGTTCAGCAGAACCTTGTGGGAGGGGGGATTCTCCGCGGGGGCAGTGGGCAGATCGGCCACAAAGAGAGACGGATCGTGGGGGAGGAAGGGGTTTGGTCGCGGCCCAGGCGGCCGAGTGGACGGGCAGATGGCGCTCACGGCCGGGGGCACCGCATCAACCAGGGAGTTACCGCCGGAGCACTGGCCGGGCGTGGGCTTTGCCGGTGCCTGGGGGGCGTTCTTCCTCGACAGAGAGGGGACCAGTCGAAGGGCAAACTGGTCCGGCGGCAAGAAGAGACGGACGATGGTGAGAGGACTGAATGGGAGGGGGGAGAGAGAGCGAAGGAGAAAGAAGAGAAAGGGCGGAAGGGAGAGCAAGGGCAGGGCCGAGAAAGTGGGCGAACAAAAAGATTGGGCCGTACCTCCAGGGCGTCGGGGCTGCGGCTGACACGAGTGACCCCGTCCGAGGCCGTTGTACAGGAGGACACGGCCGTGTGGCGAACGAGCGCCCCGGTCGCGAGGGCGTGGTTCCATGCCGACAGGACTGCCATGCGGCTCAACCCGGCGGGCAGGGGGGACATGGCTGGCAGCGTCGAACGAGAGAAGGAAGATGAAGAGCCCGGGATAGCCAGAGAGAGGGCGAGAGAGAGAGAGAGAGAGAGAGAGAGAGAGAGAGAGAG